GGCCCAAGGTCCTAGAGGCACCGTTGGATATATCATAACTGATATCATCATAGGAATATGTAGCAGTGATGTGATCCTACAATAATAACTCAACTTTCTCCTTACGTCTACCCAACGTATAGTAAAGGTATTCATAATAGTCAATGGATCCACTACCATCCAGATCCATGTCCTTCAATGCCTCTATCTACAAGACTTACTCATTATCGGCTGTTGCCATTGCTCACCTTAGATTTACTATCGTCACTAAGGCGAGATAATAATCCATCATAGATATCTTGATACGAGAGGACACCTACTCCGCTGGTGTCTAGCCGCCTGGATAGGAAGCCTCCCCACGAGTTGTACTACCACCTACACGAATTCGTCAATAATGTCATGGAGTAGAAGAGGATCCTTTTGTAATTTCCGACGCAGGAGCTCATTGACCTCCATAAGATGGTGAGGCATAGTACCTACAGTGGGGTCAGCATTTTCCTCAAGTGGGACTACTACCATTGACCAGCATAGCATGCTTGAATTCTTCTAGATCAACAGTGCCATCACCATCAATATCCATAATGTCCAATGTACGTGCAACCTCACTAGCCATTAACCCTGCATCGATGGATCTGCCTGATAGATATGCTAGTATAGTAAGGTTGGATATGTACCTGTGCCGAGAAGCACCCTTCCTTAGTGCATCCTTCCAGACATCAGCAAGCTCTGCTGCATCTATTCTCCTATCACCATCCTTATCTTGAGCCCGGAACATGATCTCTATCTCATCTAGTATAGAGGGAGGCAGAACGATCTCGGGTGTAACCAGCGAAGGGCTAACCACTGGATCTCCCACTTGACTGTCCTCGCCTAGTGGCGAGCGAGGACCCGTCATGTTACACTACAGTAACGGTCCAGAGCGAGGTCAGCACAACTCCCTACCATGTAGATAGACTCAACTCATCATCACCACTAAGCACTGAGTAGAGAAGGATGATTATCATCATTAACTCACGATTGGAGATACAGCATGGTTATTGTTACATATCTCAAGGAGCTCACGCCTCGTTAATTGAGCACAATAGGTCTCTAGTACGGAACTAGACAGTAGGGTCTCACAGAACTCACGTACTGCTGCCTGCCTCAAAGTGCCCGATTCATCAGCTAATATAGAATCACGCAATCGTACCTATATACAGTATATGTCTACAGAGGATACTGGTAGACCCCACTAGTTTTTGGTAAACAGGTGTATCTGCGTTCAATATCCCATCCTTGTCAATTGGCTGTGGTGACTGTTGAAATAGGAGAAGACTGCTGAGTGCCGTTATCCAATTATCAACACTGCCATCCATAATAATCTATAAGC